GGTGCACCTGCTGGTCCTGGGCTTGCGGCGCACCACGCGACCCCGCGACGCCTTGCCACACCTGATTCCAGCGCTAGCCGCGCGTCTGGCCGGCCCAGAGCCCGCGCGCCGCCCTCCGCCTGAGGTGTGCGAGGAGGTGCGCCTGGCGCTAGTTCAGCTGCTGGGCCTGGCGGTGGATCTCGGCGGCACCGCGCTCGCGCCCTACCTGGACGACGCAGTACGCGTGCTCCGCAGCACGCTACTCGATCCCTTTGCCGCCGTGCGCCGCGAGAGCTGCCAGTGCGCCGCCGCCCTGGCGCGCGCTACCCCGGGTAAGCTCATCCCGCCACCCGACCCCCACCGGGCGAGGACCCATGCCGGTCCCCTGCGACCCACGACTCCCTCCTAGGCCCACGGGCCCCCTCAGCCGTTGCTCCGGTTCAGGTTCTTGGAAACTGTCAAAGGAGTTTTGTTTTTGTTTTTAAGAGGGTCTGGGACAGGTTACGTTCTGATGAGGGTAGTTAAAGGAACAGGCTTTGAGAAACTCTATGCCAATCTCTTGTTCTTTTTATCTCATTTCTCTACTGGAGTCTGCCTGTTCTCTCTTTGGCGTGGACTGCTGTCCAAATAGAGAAGGATGTGCTTTTCTTTAATCCATTTGCTTTCATTTCTCCCCCTTTATGACAGAGGAAAGAGGAAAGCAAAAGGAGACAGACATGGCTCTTTAGGATTACAAGAGTGTGCAGCAACGCCTGGTTGGCCAGGGAACCAAACCTGGCGCGTGGGGCTTTCAGCTGGCCAAGTGGTGGCACTCTCCGCTGTGGGCGGGCCATTCTCCAGCGTTTTAAAAACTATAGTCTGATCAGGGCTTTCCCTGTCCCTAAGTGGCTGTTTTTGCAGCTCTTGCCCCAGTTTCCTCTCCTGGCTATCATCTCAGGCCAAGATATGGAATATTAATAGAAAGTTACTTAGTATTGGTAGAAAGGTTTCCAGGAGGTGTGAACATTTAAACTGGACATTTGGATGGAAGGTGCGATGCCTGAGGAATAAGCTTGTCAGACTGGAGGAGCAGGAAAGGAAGCCAGGGGCTTCTGGAGGAAGTGAGTGAAGGAGGGTGCAGGCAACTGTCCTGTAAGGGTCTGAATTCACTGTTCAATGCAGAAGTATGTTGTAAAGGGGAGTGATAGGCTAAGGGCAGGCTTTTTGGTTTGGGTATTTTTTTTTAAGAGAGATTTTTGCAATGGGGGGTGTGTGTGCTCCCCGGAGAGACAGAGGGACAGCAAGTGAGAAATCACCCTCCAGAGAGGATGGCCATACCTCAGTTTCTTCCCCTCCAGTCTCTTCTTGGGATTTTGAGCACCCAGGCACATGTGCCCAGCACGAATTTTAAGCCTCTTGGTCCAGGACTGGAACTGTGGTCAACTATGTAGGAGTCCAGCCATGTAACCATTACTCCATCCACTGGTCCTTTGGGACAGGTTTTTAAAACATCACTAGTGCTCTGTGAAGAATGAATTCTAGTAGTGGCAACAGAGGAAACAAAGAGGGCATTGGAGGCTATTATTAATCCATGTTTTAAATGGTGGTTTGCACATCAGCCTGCAGCTTAGTGGTTAGGAGAGCCAGATTACACGTGGCTAACAGTGGTTACAGGCTGGGAAGCTGTTTGCATCCTGGCCCTGATGACATGAAAAACACGTCAAGGGGCCAGCAGGTGGCATGGTGGTTAAGGCGTTGGATTCTACATGGCTAACAGCACAGTTTGAGGCCTGGACCTGGTAGCTTGAAAAACATAAGCTTGTGGGTATGTGTGCCCAAAATACCCAAGAAGAAAATGGAGGGGAAGGGATTGTGGCGTGGCCATCCTCCCTGGGAGGTGATTTCTCACTTTCCATCTCTCTGGCGAGTGCACACACCCTATAGTAAGCTTAAAAAGAGAAAGAAAAACACACTGAGCCTGTGCATGCATGCCCGAAAATCTCAACAGGATTGAGAAATGGGAGAAAGAGATTGCTGGTGACCACACCCCAGCGGGGAGTGCTCTCCTCCCCTACCTCCCTCTTTCTGGCAAGCACATATATTTATGTGATGGCTTGGACTTCAGGGGAAGGAGGAGTTTGCTAATAGAGATAGAGTAGAATGGATGGGTTACAGATATTTTGAAGCTGGAACTGCTTTGGCTTCCTCTTGAAACAGATACAGAAGATAGGGGCTAGGAGGGTACAGAAAACAAGGAAAAGACCTAGTTTTGGACTCCTATCAAGATTTCCACTATGGCATACTAAGCAAGGATTCCAGATAACTCTGAATTTGAATGGAGCTTTAGGGAAGAGGATTGGGCTGGAAGTGGCCATTTCTCATTAGCCACCAATTCTCTCCCCAGTTTGTGCCTTACCCCCACAGCTGCTGCTCATTCCTCCAAGGGCTCTCCAGCCTGTACGTGTTTCCTCCTAGACTGTAAGTTCCATGAGGGCAGGACTGTGCTGGCCTGTGCCCCCACACCTGGCACAGTGCCTGCCATGTATGGCGTGCTCACTGGTGATTTGCTGAGTGAAGAACTGTTTGCTCTGCTTGAAGCTTCTCTCCATCTCCAACACCTTCCCCTATGACTCTTACCTGGGTGAAAGTTCTCTCCTCTGGATTCCCTCTTCATTTCCATCACACTGGGGAGTAGCTGCCTGAGTCTTACAACCTGAGACGGTAAAGACCTCACCTAGAGCCACATCTCATGCAGAGCAGAACTGAGACCAGAACACCTAAATGAGAGTGTCGGGCAGGCTATCACAAAGACCCTGTGGTTCTGCCCTTCTGTGAGAACTTTGGAAATAGGAAGTAAAATGGCTATGCCTAAAGTGGTGCTAGCCCAATTTGATGAAGGAGTTCTGCTATCTGGCTCTGGGTGTTTGCCCAGTGTCCTCTGGGCTCAGTGTTATCCCTCTCATCAGGATTCTTCCCAGTAACCCATTGTGGCAGCCTCAGGCTCACCTCTCCCAGCTCCCACGGAGCCCCCAGCCTTTGGTTCCCCCTGTCATGTGCCATTCCTACAGTAGGGATCTGGGGTGGGCAGAGGCTGGGAGTCGAAAGGTCATAGGTGCTGTGGGCTGCAGGGAGGTGCATGGGAGATGCGCAGGTGACTGGTGGTCTCCGTGTCCCACAGACCATTTCCACATGCAGTCGGAGTCTTTGATCGGCCCCCTGATGCAAACCATCTCCCACCAGCACTGGAAGGTCCGGGTAGCTGTCATCGAGGCCACCGGTACAGTGATCCAGTTTGGCAATGGGAAATCAGTGGACGACGTGCTTTCTCATTTTGCTCAGCGGCTATTTGACGATGTCCCTCAGGTAACGGGAGTTTCTCTGCTGGACAGTCTGTTCCCCTCTTCACCAGAAGCATGCTGACAGGCTATTTTTATCCAACTCACTTTTTTTTTTCTTTTTTAAGATGTTACATGCACCAAATGTTCTTTTATCATTCTCAGTCACAAGATGTTCCTGTTTCACATCTTTAGAAAGTAGAAAAGAGCTGAATCGTTTTATTGTATTTGCTTTCTTAATTCCAAAGAATGTGGAAAAGGGTTGTTTTTGTACATATTGTCTGTTAGAAGGAAAAAATCTAAACTGTACACTTTCTCAGTTTGCAGAAGTATTTTTAATATGTTCATCCATTAAGGCAAATTTTACTGAAAAGCCACAGTAGTTGGTGGACCCATCCTGGGAGGAGGTGAATGGAGTAGTTTGGGCTCTGGAACCATCTGATAGATAGCCATGGACACACGTCTGACAGTTGGAGGACAGAATATTGGTTTTATTGCCTGGAAGAATCTGGCTTGAAGGGCATGTCTTGGATCCAAGGCCCCAGTGGCTTATTAAAACTTCAAGAACTAGGACCCCAGGGGAATAGGGTCAAGGCTGTCAGTAGGCAGGTTCTTCCCAAAGGGAGGAAACAGGTGAATTGAGAGCATATGCTCCTGCTCAGGTCGGGTGGGAAGAAGGCCAGAGTCCTGCAGAGTGGCTCAAAAGTGTCCGTATTGCAGCTACCTCAGCCCATTCACATCTAGTCAATGTAGACCTTGCCATTGAGTAAAAAGCCATTGTCAAGGTGGCAGGACCCCTGCTTTCCCCATGGAAATGTTAACTGATGTGCAAGGAGTGCTCAGCCTCTTTCATGTGCTCACCATGCCTACACAGCAGATTGTGTCACATGCTCAGGGTCACCCAGCTGGAGTTCCTGACATTGTGTCCTGGTCAACCACCCATCACTACCCAGGCACAAAGTTATTTTGTTTGTTTTATTTTTAAAAAGCTTCATTGAAGTATAAGTCACATATGCAATTCACCCATTTAAAATGTTCAGTAGTTCCTTATATATTGTTATATTCATTTAAAATTTAAAAAAAAATCTTTTTAAAATTTATTTATTTTTAGGTTTTTGCCATAAGACGCATGCACTGACCCATCACTACCCAGGCACAAAGTTATTTTGTTTGTTTTATTTTTAAAAAGCTTCATTGAAGTATAAGTCACATATGCAATTCACCCATTTAAAATGTTCAGTAGTTCCTTATATATTGTTATATTCATTTAAAATTTAAAAAAAAATCTTTTTAAAATTTATTTATTTTTAGGTTTTTGCCATAAGATGCATGCACTGGCTGGAGAAAGTCAGGGAGAGACAAGAGAAAGGAAAGTGAGAAAGTACCCCCGAGGGGGGATGGCCATGCCACAATCCTTTCTCCTCTAATCTCCTCTTGGGATTTTGGACATATGCACACACACACACCTGGCGTGAGTTTTTAAGCCCCTGAGTCCAGGATTTGAATTGTGGTCAGCCATGTGGGAGTTCAGCACCTTAACCACCATTTTATCTTCTGGCCCCATAATTTTTTAAAGTTTTGGTAAAACATATACCATGCAATGTGCTGTTTTAAGTTCTATTCACAGTGTTGTGCAACCATCACAGCTCTCCAAAATTTTTCCTTCATCTCAAATAGAGACTGCAACTATTAAACAGTAACCATAGTCCTAACCCATTCCTACCTTCTCTCTGCCCCTGGTAACTTCTACTCTGTCCCTATGAATATCCGATATATATAAGTGGAATCACATAGTATGTAACCTTTTGTGTCTCACTTCCTTCACTGTGCATAATGTTGCCAACATTCACTCGAATTGTCACATGACATACTTTTTATGACTGAGTAATATTCCACAGTATGTGATGACCTCATTAATTTATCCATTCACCTGTTGAGGGACACGTGGGTTGATTCTACCCTTGGCTGTTGTGAGTACTGCTGCTATCACCACCACTGTACAGGATTTAAAATATTTGTTTGAATTCCTGCTTTTACTGCTTTCGGATTCACCTAGGCATGTACTTAACGGGGTCATATGATAATTCTTGGTTTGCTCTTTAAAAAACTGCCAGTGTTTTCCACCATAGCTATACTATGTTACATTTCTTCCAGTAACAGCACAAGTGTTTCGATTTGTTTGCATAGTCACCAATCCTTGTTGTTTTTGTTTTATTTTTACTCTTACTGTTATAGCCATCTTTGTAGGTCTGTAGGTGTTACGTTTCTAATGATTAGTGATGTTGAGCATTTTTTCATGTGTTTATTGTTAAGGTATTTTACACAGTTTTTACCCTTTCTTCCCTCATAGTCCTAGAGGTTTGCATGTTATAACATTCAACTTGCATGGCTCGGGGTACAGGTTTTCTCTATTCACAGGTGGGCACAAGCAGCTTGGAAGGGCCAAGATAACCTGGTACCGTTACACAGAAAGATTAAAAGGAAGAAAGCCATGGAAGTGACAAAAACCATTTCCTCAAGACCAGCAGATGGTGTAATGATTGTGTCGCTGAACTCCCACGTAGTCAACCTCTGCTCAAGTCCCAGGCCCAGAGGCTTAAAACTCATGCTGGATGCATGTGCGTACATGCCCAAAATTCTGAGAGGAGAATGGATTGTGGTGTGATCATCCCAGCCCCCCAGGGGATGATTTCTTGCTTTCTGTCTCTCTGGCGAGTGCACGCACCCTATAACAGAAATCTCTCTTAGAAAACAAAAGTTTCCTCCCTGGTTCCATCCTGAGGAAGGCAGAGGAACTTCAGGGGGCAGTGAACTGGTTTCACATCAGGACTGAGACTAGAAGGCAAGACCTGGGAGGAAGCAGGTTTCCTTCAGGGAAATGGGGTGAAGATGGCAAGGTGGAGGCGTCATGTAGGGCTCTCGGGCCAGGACAGAAGCCAGGATTCAGTGACTGGTCTGTATATCATACGCCAGATAACACACATGGAACAGGCCCTGCTCTGGGATGTCTCTGTGTGGCCTCCACTGCCTTGGTTTCCTTCTCAGGCTGTCTCCCCCCAGGTACTGCATGGCTGCCAACCAAGGCTGTACAGAGAGGAAGCCTCTACTAGGGACCCGAGTCCATTCCTTCTGTCTCGTCAAGCCAGCTGCAATAGAGTTTAGCTTGGGTGTTAGCTGCTCCCTCCTGGAGCTTGGATGGGGTCAGCACATGGCAGCTTGGAAGAATACCAAGCAAACTGGTCTCTGCTAAGCCAGAGGAAGAGGGCAGAGTGCTAAATCAGCACATGCACAGTCATGTGTGCCAGGCACTTCCATCACTAATTAAAGGCCTGAGATGCAGAGAGCAATTCCAGGAAGAGAAGACCAGAACTATGCCTCTTACTTTTTCACCTTCCTTAGGCCTTCCGTAGAGCTTGGCCAACAGGGAAGGCGTCATAAGCCAACTTGTTCCTCCAAATAGTGGAATAACTATGTATGAAAAACTCCCTGTAAGTAGCATAACTGTGTATGAGAGCCTCTGTAAATACTATAACTCTATCAATAGCCATCTGTAAATACCGTAAGTGCAAAGCTATCTGTAAACATTATAACCGTGTATCAATAGCTGTCTGTAAATAATATAACTGGGTATTGATAGCTATTTGTAAATAGTGAAATTGTCAGTAGCTCTCCATAAATAGTATAATTATGTACTGAGAGTTGTCTGTAAATTGTGTAACTATGTATCGAGAGCGTTCTGTAAGTACTATAACTCAATAGCTATCTGTAAATAGTATAACTATATATCATCTATAAATAGCATAACTGTATCCATAGCTATCTCAATTGTATAACTATTGGTAGCTATCTGAAGACAGTGTAATTATTTATCAATAGCTATCTGAATGGTATAACTATTGGTAGCTATCTGAAAACAGTATAATTATTAATAGCTATCTGTAAATTGTGTAACTGTGTATCAATAACTGTGCATAAATATCTTGCTTGGCATTGATAGCTGTCTGTTAAAAAGCTAACATCACAGCAGGTCAGCTGGTGACATGGTGGTTAAGACAGCTCAACCCCATATGGCTGGCTCCATGGTTCAAGTCTTGGACCTGGTGGCTTGAAAAATATCCTGGGCACATGTGTGTACATGCCCCAAATCTCTAGAGGATCATGGAGGAGAGACAGGTTGTGACATGGCCATCCCCACTGGGGGGTGCTTTTTCACTTTCCCCCTCTTTGTGTCTCTCACTGGTGAGCACGTGTGCCCTTTAGCAAAAGTTAAAAAAAGATGATAACATCACATTGTTGATCTAAAATATTGGTGTTTGGTCTCCTGAATCTAGCGTTATAAAGAGCGTGTTTCTACAGAGAAGTGAACAGGTTATCAGTTGATTGCTTTCTTCCTGGTGCTGTCAAGGGCAACTTTCTCTGTTTTTTTGTTTTTCCCAGTGTAATCAGCTTTTCCAGAATTTCAGTCCATGACCCTTTATTACTTAATATCTCTAAAACAAATGCTCTTCCCTATTCAAACTATTACTCCCCCTTTATTTAGTCCCACTGGGATTTAATTTGTTCAATACTATTTCCAGGGGTAGTAGAGGTGTGGCTTCAAGTGCAATTTTTTAATTGTCTGCTGGCATTGACTTGGGATCCTGTTACAGATGCCTATAAAGTCCTTCCCAGTGGGGTTATAGTGCTGCCTTTTCACTGCTTTTATTTTATGTTTGCATTTTCAGCTCTGGACCGTTGTCCACTTTAGGCCACTTGCAGATTCCTCAGCCCCTGTGGACAACATAGGGCTGTGTTGGGATCCCTCACCTACTCTGTGCAGAAAGTCCTAACCTCCTTCTGACTTCCAGAACACTTCTAGCCACTGCTGTCCTACAGCCTCCTGGACTAAATTCTAGGTGATAGATCTAGGTGGTGAGGGCCTGGAGGTCACTTTGTTCCAACCCTTTTAACCCTCCTGTAGCCTTCCTGTGCAGAGGAGACTATTACTGTTTCTGACTTACAGATGAGGAAACAAGGCCCCGAGTGTCC